AGGACGAGGAAATGGCGTGACAGCAGCTCGATATATTGACCAAGTCATAAGACCCCACGTTGTACCATATTTTGGACGTGAAAGAAATCACATCTTACGGCAAGACAACCCTCGTGCCCAAACTACTAGAACAACATTCGACTTTAGAACACTTTTGGGACGAGATTCAAGGAAGACTAAATGACCTCCAACCAAGGCCCACAACTGCGCCTGGAGTACCTATGACCTTCATCATCCGGCTAATCCATTCCATGTACAGATGATGCAACGCCATCACCGATGCCCATGGAGGCCACACACGATGCTGACTTTGAGACATCCTTATGGTACCATTTTTTGTGGTTTTATTTGTCTGAACTAAACGTGCTTCCTGAATTTGTGTTAACCATAAATGCCAAGTTTGAACTCAGCCCTCCGTTTAGATTGTTTTAAGAAACCTCTACAGGTATGGCGTTTCTTTTGCGGTTCAGTATATTTTGTAATCTAGTCAGTTTGCGCGTCTTGAACGGTTTTTTATTTACGAGGTCAACATAAAGTGTTTTAAAATAGATTATTGCCAATTTTAAAACATATTTCGTTCATCTCCATTCAACCATGACCATTCTAAAAACAACCTCGTCTGCGAAAGGGGCGGTCGGTGTCTTTCTTGGTGGGTTTTTATAACATTGTAACGTAAAAGGTATTCACCAAAAGAAAACAAACAACTAGTTGTTGAAGACAATGAATGAATGAGGTAATATTTAACGTCACATCGGCAATATCTCAGCCATATTGTGAGGAAAACAATATATACAATAAAAATTGAAAACATTTTGAAGAGTAACACCTGCCAAAGATGGACAGTAAAAATACTAGAGTATCACATATATGAACATAAAACTAGCATGTAAAACTAAAAGATTCTAATTAAAGAAGACAATACAACATAAAACACAGGCTATAGATCGCCAACAACTGAAGGCAGATCACTATACTAGGAACCATGGGGATTTACATTATTTTGCTACCTGCACGGACCCTAGCTGTATTTACACCATCTCTTCAGCCGCTGGTGATGGTAGGAAGATTTAGCCGAAAGTTAAAATAACAAAAATGCTACGATTAAAAAGTATGGTTGAGCGAAATTGCCTTTGAAAGTTTTTGGGACTTATGTACCCTCTCAGGAGGACAACAATTTTATAATATTTTAACCCCCTTTGAGGATACAGCCACTAACAATCGCAGTTGCTAATTCATACAACCATGTTTAAAATACCATTTATCTATTTACAAAACATACTATTAAAAATGTATGTAATAATTCTATTTCCTTTAAAAAACTGAATTATTAAATGATAATTAACATCATTAAATAGATCCTTAATTGTTTTGACATTAAAATATTTATCCCTTGTGATGGAAAAATCAATGCAGTCGAGCTTGACTGTGATTCATCACAAGGGATACACAACGGAGGATCCTCACCTTTGAGCAAATATTCATGAGTGTATCAAGTAAGGCCAATGCGACATCGTCACATGATGACCTCTTCAAATCTGGACTGACAACCCAAGTAGGTGTAACCAATGTGGAAGTGGTGTCACAGATTTGTTGAGTGCTGCCACAGCAGCATAATCGACCATTGTTACCAGAGATTCCAACATGGCTGGGTAACCAACAGAGGACGATGTCGTATTGGCCAGAAGCAAGGTCATTATATAATTCAGTTATATCGAGTAAAAGTGGATGGTTTCAAGAGAGATTTTTATAGTCTAAAGGCAAGAAAGAGAGTCAGAAAATATGATATATTGCTTATATCTAATATTTGTTCAAGACAAGCATTTTTGTTAATAAGTAACAGTTTGGTTACATAAACCCACAACCACGACACTCACCAGTGTACTGTTTGGAGTGCCGTAGTACTGTACCCCATGCAAATACTACATGGAATGTCCTGACCTACTTATTTTCTTGGAAGTAGTTTTTGACAGTCCCGTGACTGTTTGAAAGAGGCGGACCTGCCAAATTTTCCATTTTGAGCAAGTTTGAAATTTAAAGTAACTGTGAAGTTACTGACTGTCGAATGTGAACCCTTTAAAATCGAAAAATGGTACTTTCTTCTGATGTGCCGTCGAGTTTTATGTCCAGTGAGCTTGATAATTTGAGGAGTATGGCCAAGCGCTCATAAAGTGTACCAAAATAGATCACCAGAAATCACACTTTTGCGGGAAGAAAGCAGGAAACATGTGACAGGAACATATTCGGGATTTTGCCTAACCCTTATCTCGCATTACAATGGAAGATCTTGGTTGATTTCGAATGTGCCCTTGTGATAAATACCATCTCTAACGGTTGTCAGTTGTCTTGATATCAGCCATGTTGGTCAAACGGAAATAGTGTGTCAGTGTTGTATTATTTCTCAGTAAAGCGGTCAGAAAATCGACGTACTTTTCAATCAAAATTGATTATGTACAATTTTACTGATTTAACATAAATAGTGAGTGAGTGAGTGAGTTAATATTTAACGTCACATCGGCAATATTTCAGCCATATCGTGACGAGAACAGTTTACATTGTAATGGAATATGTATATATTATAAAACCTGTCATCGAAGGACAGTAAAACAACTAGAATATCACAATTAGATTTAAAACTAGTGTGGAAGGTTAAAACTAATAGCACTATTAGGACAATACAAGATAAAAACAGGCTATACATCGCCAACAACTGAAGGTAGATCACCATACTAGGGACCATGGGGACTTACAGTACCTTGGCTACCTGCATGGACCCTAGTTGGATTTACACTATCCCTTCAGCTGCTGGCGATTGTAAGAAATGTTAGCTACAATTAAAATGACAAAAATGCTACGTTTAAAAATCCTGGTAATCTTAAATTGACTTTCGAAGTTTTGGGACTTACGTACCCTCTCAGGGGGACAATATTTTTACGATACTTCAACCCCCCTTGAGAGTACAGCCACTAACAATCTAAGTTACTAATCAAACTACCAATTATTAAAACACAGCTATATACAGAACATATTAATCAAAATTCATTAATGAAATCAATTTCTTTTAAAAAACCAAGAATTAAATGAAGATGAACAGAGTTAAAAAGATCCTTAACAGTTTTAACATTGAAATATTTATCCCTTATGATGGAGAATTCAACACAGTCAAGCAGGAGATGCTTGACTGTGACTCTCTCATCACAAGGGATACAAAACGGAGGATCTTCACCATTTAACAAATATTTTAACATAAATAAATAAAAATAGAAAGTAAATAACAATGAATAAAACAATATTAAAGGGTGTCATTAAATTTATGGACAACCTTACTCCATAAATATGAGAAGTCAGAAAAGTAATATGACGCTTGAAATACATAGTGGCTACAACAATTAGAAAACAAAATTGTTCAATCTCTACACCGGTTAAATCTCTACAAAGCCAGATAGAATTATATGAATGGATTGCTAAAAACAAGGTAAGCAGTTTCTGAGTACGGGTATCACCGAAATCTCAAGCAATTTGGATAAAGCATTATGTTTTTTTAATAAAGATAACTGACACTCGTTCAACGCCTCGACACTCTATTACAAAAACCTTGAATAAACGTATTCACATATTGGCACAAGTACCAACTGAAGAGACATTCTGGAACACTTAAATCATCTGAACACTGATCATATAAGAACAACAATATATATTCCCACACGTTTCACGTCCTTGATATGACCACCAATCTGATCTTTTGAACATGCATGTAAACAATCAGTCTGACATTCATTATTTTTTTAAGAGCCCTGAATTTTCGTATGACGGCTTATTTCGGGGAACTAAAACAAAACGCACTCAGATCAGTATGTGTATCATTGTGTTCCACCGAAGTGTGGAGAGATCACTCGTTTTCACAAAATGACATGATAAAGTGCCAGACTATGTTTCCACTACTCTGTCGGTTCATGCTCGAATTTGTGTTAACTTCCGAACTATTTCCCGCCTTCGAAATTCTCATATGCGGCAGTACTGTCGACGATGTTGATGTCGCTTGGTGTGGCTTTGAATCTCAGCCCCGTGTACGTTACCTCACCTCCTGCATCTCCAGCAGCTCTGTCAGGCACCGCGTAGATGGCCATGGAGGCTGAGGGAGCATCAGCACCTTGTTCTCCAGCTCTTGTAACTGGCATCTTCTTCTTTCGGCTACAAGAATATAGAGAAACAAATAAAACCATGGACGTTGGCTCAACGGTTAGCACATTTTGGAACTTACATCCATCTTAAAATACTTCCAAAAAGCGAAAGAGTAATTTCCTAATAAGGTCTGAGCAAGAACAACAACCGATATTGACATGCTACCAAAGTTTTACGTTATGCCTAAAGACCTTTTACACAAAAGAGAAACCTATGAGGCTGACAGGCTAAAGAGATTCCCTTTCTAACACACCCTTAGGCTACAACTAGTACCGGCATAGGAATACATGTCTACTGTCTTGGTGTAATCCACAATCAGTTTAGCATCTTACTTAGACATGAGGTGAGATCGTTATTTCTACTAGTTGTGTCCTTGACCTTGACTGCTTTTCAGGGGCAGTTTACATCCTAAACACACCTTGTTTGTCATAGTAGCCGACAAACATGATGATCAAATAGTTACAATGTCCTGACTGATTTCATATGCTTGCTCATACTCTCAACCAGGATGGCTGACCATGTCTTTATATCAACATATTGTAGAACTAAGAATCATTTGAGAATAATACTTGAGTTACTAAATCCTTACCTGTAGAACACATATGCTACAAAAGCGACGAGGAGAGCCAAGATAACAATCCCAAAGACTACACCCACGATCACAGCAGCGTTGTCAGAACTGCCAGCTGAAATGAATGTTTTTGTCTTAGAAAAAGACTATATATACTTTTCTGAAATGGATACATTAGGAAATGTTTATGTTCGAAAGACTCTAATATTTCTGTACAATTCCCACAGTCGAGAAAGGGAGGAACACTCACCTTGGATGGAACCACCTGTATTTAACTTGACACCGCTTCCATCTGGTGTCGAGGTCTCTGGAACGATTTAGTGAAGCCAGTCAGTATGTACATTGTCTTGGAAGTAAAGTAAGCCCTATATGTAGTCAAACACTCAGAAGATATGTCCTGTTTTGTTAAACGCCGATCTGAACAATATCTAAATAGTCAGTATTTCACGACCTAAGACAAATATCATCAATTGGTACAATGTTTGTAACACTACTAGTTGGGACGTACTAGTATTTTAATGCTAACCCTTTTTCTTCAGAAAAAAATATTAATTAAAGTTTATGTAACATTAAAAATACAAGTCTGTCACAGAAATAATGTCATTTGAGGTTTTGGACACACTACTTTAACTCTCTATGACTCATGGTGTTGCTTTCTGTCTGACATTGCCTTTTGATAAATGTCTTTGATTTAACTTGTAATGGAGCTGGACAGAACTGTACAATCAAACCTTGTACAACCGTTTCACAGAGCAATCGTAAACAGATTAGCAGCCAGTAAATAGAGCAGACAAACCAGTAATTAAATGTAAGAGCAACGATCAATTTGATTATTATTACATACTGAGAAGGTTTCATTTGTGTGGAACTGTACATATTATGATGTTGCTCATCACAACAATCATCCATATGCCAGATACACCACGACAGTCTGTAGATAATCATGGAGCAGACAAACCAGTGACTTGATAAAGGAGCATCGATCTACGTTTTCGGGATGCTATGAGAATGAACCAAGTCACATTTCCTGACTTCACGATCACAGTTCAGTCAACATATATTTTGTTTCTTTGTTATTTAATTACGATCACAGCAACATTCCAGCTACATGATGGCGACCTGGACATCATGTTATCTAACCAGACAAACCAGTGGTTAATAGTATGAGCAACTGTACATGAAACCCGGAATCCCCACATGGCATTGAAAATATTGCGACTGTTTTTATTGTCAGATTCTGTTTACGTTTGCTTCGTATAGCTATAGGGGTAAGCATAGACATATTGGAAAGATGGTTATACTAAGAGTCCTTAAGTGGAGGATTTAAGGATTAACTTTAAATACAGTTAATTGAATGTAGGATCTCAATCTCTTCATATATTAATTTATTACCTACGAGGATAACTCACTCACTCACTATTACAATACGAGGGCAAAATATCGGGGTTGGCATTTTTCATACGATGCCCTAGGGGAACATATCACTTTACGAGGAAGTGTTCCATGTCAAGACTCGATATCAAAGGGAACTACTTTTTGCATTCATGAAATTTTACAATGCTTCACAACGTTCATTCCCAGATTGGCATTTAGGAGATAGCGTCACCTCGAGATTCGCTTACAATATTATTGTTATTAACACAATTAAAATTCATTAATTTTTTACTTACATTACTTTACTTTTCTGGGCCTATTCATAGGGGTGTAATTAACACTAACTTCAACCACGTTAGGAGAAACAACTGGTCGGTAAACACATGTGACGTGAACCAGACCATTCTGTCAGTTGAAAAGTTGCGTCAGTTCCAGCCTCCAAATAAAGTTGACACACTTTGACAGTCATTAGGTACATTCAACTCACTCACTGAGAATGTGTTTCTTCTGCTTGACATTATTTTTTACATTAATTGGTGCTCATAAGACTCACGTTCACTGCCCTTTTCCTATTTGAATATTCCAACTTGCCCCTGGCAGTCTGACTGGTCTTGTGTTGACTTTGCGCTACGTTCTAAAGTTTCTATTTTAAACAAAATGGAATGGAAGATTAACCGTTGTGAATTACATATTTACGACTGAAATATATCTTTCTATTCTTATTTAAACTCAAGGTTGACAAATACCTGTCGATGAAAATGTGTACTTGTTTCATTTCCGCGTACGGTAACTGTGGGTTAGTGGTGCTAAGGCCTTCTCCCCTTTTACAGATGATGCGTCCTTTTATAAGCACTTCGTTGCATGTTTAAATAATACATAATTCTTCGGTAATAAACAGAATATCTTATTCGTGTCGATGTCACACCATGTTTACGACACTCGTGCCTGTACGTCGGTATTTAATACTAACATTTAGGCACTCGTGTCGTAAACATAGTAAGACATGGACACTCACATAATATCCTCTATGTACAGCAATAGACCAACCTGTATCAGAATATGTCCCAAAACTGTATCCTCCGTTGTATATGGCGGCATAGTATCCAAGGACAGCAAAGGTAGAATTAGAACGGATGGTTGTTGTGTATCTACTACCTCTCAATGTTCCCACTTTGTATCTTGTACCTGACAGATTCTTCCATGTCACCGGAGGGCTTAAGACTGTAGAGAGGGTGCCATGGGTTTGTTGAACGTCCACGTTGTTGTTTTCTTGGTCTGTCAATATCTGCACGGTACCTCGGGGTTGTAGTGTTGTTAACGTGGAGTATAGGCTTACGGGGGGCACTACAACAAATGCATCAGAATAGTAATACCTTCCCAAAGTACACAGAGTGGCCATAACTGGCCTTGTGGTGTTCAAGTAGAACGTTTCACGATTCCCACATTGTGTACGATACACTCCATCTTCACCAACTGATATGGAAGAACCGTTATCAAACATGATGCTCGTGTCACTGTGGTCGGTAACAACTTGAAGTTGGTATGGCATGGCACTCACATATGAGCGATCACCGTAATAAGGGTCCTGGATAGCGAGAATATACTCATGTCCATAATGTTTCACAGGCAGTAATTGCTCGAAAGTAATGAAGAGTGTTCTGCTCACATCGTATGTTCCGCTATAGACGGCTATTGTCTCAGTAGCATTAACGATGGTTCTGGTCATATCAGATGAACTGTTTAAGGAGAAGGTCTGATACTTATCTAATCTGACAGTGAGAATGTCCCCGTCGATGTACGTCTTGTTACCATACGTGACGTTTGCGTCCAGTCTGAAGATGACGTCAATATCCGCCTCCTTGCTGTGTGTGGCTATCACCAAGACGAATATGTAAGACGTTGTGTCCAAGTGAATGTTGTCAGTAGGAAGACAGGAAGACATGATGTACTTCGTGCCTAGTGCCGACACAGAAAGGGGAGAGAATAGTGTGTAAAAGTTCATTCCCCCTTTGATCTGAATAGTATCATCTCTGACAAACACCAGTACAAGAATTAATCTGTTTTTGTCATGGACTATTGGGTAAAAATAATCTGTGTTGTGCGGATTGAAGCGCCGAGACCAGACTCGCCCAGAGCGTGGATCCTGTACCTGCCACTGGCCTCCTGTCTCTCCAGCACTGGCGAGTATCCGAGGAATATAATTGTTGTCGCGCCCACTGTACCCAGCTAGTGCCATCAAGTAACTTGGACCTGCAACGCATAGTACATATTTATGTATTTGGTAACCTGATCATTAAAGAGTTAAGCCTCAGATATATATTATCTGACACAGGTGTCTGCCTTAGAATGATTGAGTCTGTTAATTCAAAGTAAAACTAACAGAAAAGCTCATATCCACATAGAGCATGTCCTTGACATGTCGACCATGTGTTCAATGCATGCATAAGTCATGGAAGCCATTTATTAAAATTATAATTACAGTGAATGGCATGTAACTATTTGGAATTAAGGAGTAGAATGAATACAAGTATTTCAGTAATAACCTGGCATGTGAGCATATTTGTGGAAAAGATCCAGAAGTGATACAGGTTTTAAGATTATTAAAGTTTAAGTTGTATTTAATCCATGAGCAAATCTATGGTACTGACAAAGATGAGTGATAACCAAACTGAATCTACTTCACACAGCTGTGCTTCAGACAGCAAGATCAACCATGAAAACATAATTCACGTGTATTTACTACAGAATCAACGGGGTATAAACTTTTATTCAAAAGATTGTGAATTGATTTGAGACAATGGGGAAGGCCTTTCACTTTTTCAAAAAATATTAACTAATACATTTGACAATAACAAAGCATACTTTATAGATTACAACTACTTATTTTTTGCATAAAGCGACGTTTCTGTGTAGATTCATAAACCGTTATAGAGCTAAGAGTGACTACAACCAAGTCATGAGAAGCACATTTACATAGCTGATTGTGACAAACGTGTAAAATGGAATTTTAATGGTGAGTATATTCATACTGTGACATTTTCATGCTTAATGCTATGGTTGTTCCTATAGTGCGTTATGGTGCAGATGCATTGTGATATTCAAGACCTACAGCATTAAATGTTAATGTGTAAATGGTCTCTCAAAATAGGTAAAACAACAAATAATGCTTTTATTTTGGGAAAGTGTGGTAAAACCCCTTTCCGACTCGTGTGTACCGGAGACTTATTAAGTATCGAAGCATTTGCATGATCACAGACTTCCTCGCCAATGCTACTTAATGCTCAAATCAGTGGACGACTGATGAGGGCAATGTGAATATATTCATTCACTGTTATTAATATAGATTATTATACAACCTCTAAAAATCGTGGTGTAGTTCAATCAACAGTTTATCTGTTTCCTTCTCTTTCAAGCCGTTTAAACCCTGTTAAATGTAGAACGGTATCTTAATCCTAGTCCCCGTACATCTTAGACTATGCATCGACTTGTTTCAGATGTAGTAGGTTTATACTTGCAGGTGATTTTGGGAGATACACAAATATCCCCAAAACTTAACGACTGTGTAAACAGTATATAGAAAGTGGAAAATATTTTATTGAAGATAAATGTCAGATATTTCTTGTATGTAAACAATACTCAACCCTAAACAGTATATGAAGTGCCACACGGCAACATCTTTGATGCTGGAAATAACACAGGTCTATATTTATATAAAGTCCAACAGGAACTCCACTGGCATGCGTGATTCATTATGTGTATGTTGCTGACACATACCTGTATAATGTTCTGGTTCCTCTGCAGACAGATTGTAGCCGATGGCATAGACCGATCCGTTATAGAAGGACAGAACTGTGAAGGGGAAGTCGCTGGATATGGACGTAGAATATATATATCGTGACTTTGACTGTACCAGTGTGCCAACTTTGTATCTGCTGCCCGCTATCCACCTCCATGTCAGACGATCGTTTACCTCTTTGTCCTTAATCAACACCGTTGCTCTCGTGTCAGTTAGTACCTTTAGCTTTGTTTGAACATTGTTATAATATAACCAGACTCCTGTGTGTGTGACGTACGAGTGTACAGGTGGTACAGTTGTGAAGGCACTACTGTAACCATCTGCTCGACTGAGTGTCACCAATACAGGGCGTGTGGCGGTGAAGTGAAAACTCTCTCCCCGTTCAAGTGAGCGGTTATAGAGACGACGCTCGCCAGTAGAGGCTGTTGCTCCAGAACTGAAGGTGATCTGCACGTGGCTGTGTTCACTGATGATCTGCAGCTCCAGTTTGGTGTCATCTACAGCAACCACATACTCCTGACCGTAGTGCTTGACCGGCAGAAGTTGGTCATACACCGTGTACTTATAGGCATATTCCATACCACTATGGACGGCTATGCTGTGTTCACTGGTAATGACCGTTCCATTCAGATCATATGGAGTGGACACCCATAACGTTTGATACGGATTAAGTTTAAAGGATAATCTTTCGCCGTCACTGTAATAATAATTGAGAATGTAAATACTTCCTCTGTTCAGTCGAAATAATATATCAACAGTAGTGCTGATGTTGTGTGTAGCTATTAGTAACAAGGATTGATAATAACCGTTAGGGGGGAGACTGGAAGGTAAAACGTACTTGGTCCCAAGGGCAGATATAGGAAGTGGAGAGAATATACCGTCAGCATATACCACAATGTTTACATCTTCGTCACTTCCGCTCACAATGAATGCTGCATTTTCTACATTAGTTGTGATTTTTATCTGATCGTTTACACCGACTAAACTAAGATAGAAGGGACTCAATACATAAACACTTCTGTAGGCGAGGTGAGGATACTGTATCTCCAGCAGGCCCCCAGTTTCTCCTGCTGAGTACATGATGTACCCGTATTTGCCTCTTTTTGACACAGCCACCAAGTAGTCTTCACCTGTAAAGTCAATTCAAAACGACATTAGATCAATGTATTATGTTCTTAACCCTGTTATTTTGGGGCCAAGATCAAAGCACGACAAATGTGCCGCACCAGAGACAATAAGTATTAAAATGCGCAAAACATAAATACCAGTGCCCCGGCTATCGAGAGGTCAATATCAATACTGCTTGAGTAATATCCATCAAAGGCCAAGGGAATCCTTAAAATGCAGTCATATTCTACAAGACCAGCGTCATTCATAATCATGTGACCTCCATAACTCTGATCAACAAGGTGCGGTGGGGGTCGCTCGGTGGTTAAACTCGTCACACCGAAGACTCGTGTGTACAATGTGTGAAGCCTTTTTCTGGTGTCCTCCGCCGTAATATTGATGGAATATTGCTAAAAGCGGCGTAAAGCCCAACGCACTCACTCACTCACTCACTCTGATAAACAACCGCTGGCTGACAACTTCAATGTCCTGGTAATTACCAATGGACAGTAGCTCACCTCTCAGGGCTGTATGCACTACATTCATCATGTCAGAAACACTTTTACTTCAATCTCTGCAGAGTCAGCGAGAGTGTAATTTGGCAGATCCTCCTGAACTCGTCAGTGACAAGTTTTAAAAAGACTTGAAACACTTACATTTCGTGCGTGTTTATATTTTTACCTTCACGTTTTGGTCATTCTTTTAAAAACACGTTCGCTAATGGATTGATATGTTCAATAAATGATTATCTCGTCATCGTATGATACCACACAGGACCACCGCACCGTGCCACACCTCCGAACACACTAGAACGAGATAACATTCTCTATAGATTGGTATATCTTTTGTCAACTTCGTTACTGTGCTTTGCAACATGTGTTTGTATGTGTGTTTCCCTTGAATATCAGCTACTCAAAAAATAACTGCTATGCTATGCAATACTGTCACAATCTACGGACCATCACCTATTGTATCTGTTATATTGTGTAGGGCTTCTGAAATATAAGTAGTTACCCAGCAAGCTATGCCGGTCGTAGGATGTGACAATATGGGGCCGGACGTGTTCCGTGTCTAGGTTGTATGTGGTATCCCAATTGCGTTCCTCATAAACAAAGCCTGGCAGCATGATATAGCCCAACTTTGCTACTGTCACCGTCAACTATTCCTGCCCCCACACAGGGTACATGCACATTATGGTGTTAGTTACGTTGGCCTGATTCCACACTGTAGCAGCAATTATTGCCTGTATAACAACATGTATTCACACAGACATATATATCGCAATACCTATGATTTTAACCCCCCTCTTATTTTCATAGCATGGTAATGTTTGTTTGTATCATTCTTTGAGCTGGGCGCACTATATATTTATTTAAGCTGTGCTCTTTCTGTGCGCGTACCTGGCGCGAAGCATTCATGGTGTGGAGGTACCTCTCTTGTCACAATAAACACGCCCTTGTGACATTCAGACAAAATTTGAATGTACTACTGTACATCACTGAGATCTTAGACAGGGCTGTTGTACCACGTTTCGTTGGTGATTTCTTGTATCAAGAGTCGGTAGCAACGTAGAGCATCAATCCCATAGAACATGTTATGGACAGTATGGGTCACAAAGATCCTCCAATACACAATCCTGATGGATTGGAACAAGCCATCCAAAAATACCTCAACGATAAATTCAAAGTCTGATGCAGTCAGTGATGAGGAGGGTCATCGATGTTAGTGTAGTTGGCGGAGGTTACACCCAATATTGACATTGTGCTCGGTTATTCATACTTATGTGGTCACTTGTCCTAGTTATACGACCATAGTTATCAGCATTATAATGAGTCATTTTTTTACATTTTTGCTATGAATAAACAATTTTTTTTCTTTTTGCTTTGATATCCCCCATTTAATTATTCTTTGGGGATCAGTTTATCTAGACAGTAAGTTATATTTAGGCTTGGATATGTTCCTTAGCTATGGTTACTTGTAACCTATTTACACTATGACAAATATGGTGTCGCGATATTATTTTTCATGTGTATATGTGAATTGCTCAACTAACAATGATCCACTTTGACCGTATCTTCATAAATGTATACATGGAAGTTTTCTTAAACAATGATCTTAGCATTGGTAGTCAAACAACGATTAGGTCACAAACCTACATAATACTGATATATCCTTATGCAATAAAACGCGATGTTGAAGGACAAGCTGATCAACTCCTACGTCTTTAATCTTCATAGCGACTCAGTGAATAGAGAGTTTTCTAAAAAGATGTTTATTTTGTGAAAGTGTCACTATCAGATTGGTGATACAGTGTATAATCTTAGACATTGGGTCAATAACATGAGCTACTTACCATTGCCGCTCTGCAGGATCGTCAACAGAACCACCAAGCTGAAGCCCTTGGAAGTCATCCTATCCACGGAGTGTTCCCGTGTCCTTTCAGAACAAAGGATGAAGATTCCTGATGTCTGCTTAGATATCTGGTGGTGAAAATCAAATCAGAATGACCGACACAGGGTCGGGTGTGGCACATCAGGTGTGTATAGTGATCAGGTCTCTACACACCCACTGCGATTTACATCCTGTTTTAGACATGACTCCATTTGTCCGTGATGATATATCAGATAGCAATAGTGACGAGATAGTGTTGCTTAGCAACGAGGAAGTAAACTTTCACCTCGTGAGTGAGTTTTTGACGAGCCACTTAGCAATGTTACAGCCAGATGAAAAGCCCTTGTTATCGCAAGGTTGGTGCAGAGGGTAGATAGCACGTCACAATATGGCGTTATGATTTGATATGGTTATGAGTGAGTGATATTAGTTTTAGCAATATTCCTGCAATAGCATGTTCTGCAAAAGTTAGCCACATTGTGCCGCAATTTAATCACAACGAAATGGGATAGAATATTCTCACAAGTTTCACACCCAAATGACCTGCCTAGGAGTTCCAGGTACCAAACTCAAAACATTATTTCGGCATGAATTTGTAAGAACAATTAGATGCAAAACCTTTCATTCAACGTCAACAGGAAGGTCTGTAGGCCCAATTTCTTCATCAACAATCCTTGAAAAACAGCAAACTGGAACCATGTCAGCTTCATCTGAAGAGAGTGCCCTATTTGAAGAACTTAACCAACATCTTCCTTGCCAGAACTGGTGCCTAAACATGTATATTCTGAGACGTTTTAATGCTCTTCTATGACTGTTCGACAGTTCAAGAGAAGAATTTCAACTACCATATCGTGATTCAAGGTTTATACACCTGAGGATGCCTGAAATCCTTGACTTCCTACAACTAACCCGTTGGTGACTTAAAGAATTGACATCAGCGAATACCAGACAAAAGCAGAACCATCATTTTTCTTAGCAGAACTATACATTTGTCTGTGAACTCCAGGAAGTGATTTATAAGCCTGCAAAACTGAAATCTACATTATGTGATAATCAGAGCTCATCAACAGATAGAATACGTTTCCTGAGTTTTAACCCTAAATACACTTTTTGAACAACATGATATAATGATTTTAGCCACCTTAAAATGTGCGAAGACTGTTTGTTTCACTCTCATTACTTTATTGTCTTATACGGCCAGTCTATCACGATATCCTATGGATATTTTGGTCACTGTTGCTCTGGGCCCTTATTCTCGAAACGTTAGTAGACCTAAGAATTTTTAACTTTCATCGTAGCCAATGTGTTAAGAATGGGCTTAAGAAGTTCGTTGGGCTACGAACGTTTCGAGAATAGCTAGCCTAGCCTCAAAGTTGTAAATTCTTACATTTATCAACAGGTAAATGTTTCTGTCTGAATTCGAAATATGAACAACTAATATCTCCAGACATAACACGTTACATTTGGCCACTTTCTGAAAGGCCGTGTGAGTTCATATAAACACCCTATATGAACAACTATTATTGCATGAGCTGTAATCCTGTAGCTGAATATTAGCTGAAATATATAGTATCACCCATTCCACCATACATAGAGTTATCAGTTTCCTCTTACACATTCATCATTGACATTGAACATTGTTCCTTGTTGCTGCCGATAGACACCTGTACAATATGTACTTCCTCTCTCTTTATCTGGTTTTCCTCGTCCATGACAAATATGTTTCAAGAGTGATAGTACTCGTGAAGCAACCCATGCTTGTCGTGAGAGGCGAACACTATTTTGCTTCTAGCAGCATATTTCTAGAGTAACATAAACGTCTGCTTGTAAGCTTCGGGAACTGATTCATATACATCCAAACGATGCATAAGGTAAAACATATCTCCGAGCTTAGACCTGCATAAACATTTGCAGATGTTATCCAGTACGCACGTGCCCATTTTATACTGTTAGCCAGAAAACCATCATCATCACGCTTAGTGGAAGGTTGATCAAGTCTGAATATGTAACGCTACATCAGCTGCTGAGAGGGAGGTCATTCTGTGAATTAGTCTGGCTAAATACTAGTTAGCGAATCTGTAGGGTAACAAAAGTAGAACCAACCTTCCCTAAGCAGACTTAATCATGTGTGCATACGATTCAGGAAGTGATATATGTGGCCATGAAGTAGCGTTTTAAGTGTATCAAGATTGAGCGCATGTTGCATACAATGCTAAACACTTTAAACTCCATAACACTTCTCCAGTACAATATGGGTGGTGGGTAGCCTAGCGGTAACAGCGTTTGTTCATCACGATGAAGTCCAGGGTTCCATCCCCATGAGTACAACGTCTGAAGCTCAATTCTCATGTCTCCGTGATTTTGCTGGAAAACTGCTGCACGCGGTGTAAACGCAGTCATTCTTGTACAATCACTGAATATATTCATTCATTTATGATTGTTATCTCTTGACAATAAGAATACGAATGGAAACTGAAAAATGAGCTTTATCACTAACCTGTGATTCTCGGCATTTCGTTTCACAGGTAATTATTAAAAACCCTACATTAAAATTGTATGCAACCTAATAATTTGATCGGCATTCTAGACGCTGGTGAGCCAAAAATGAAACATTCAACATGGATGACAGCTTCTTGAATTTTTGCATAGAGCGACGTTTAAATGGATATTCTTACACCGTTATCAAGATAACTAGTGACTTCTATCTTGATACGGTGTAAGACTCTACATCGAAACGCCGCTTTATGCAATAAACAAGAAGTTGTCATCCATAACGTTGTACGTTTCATTTTTTACCCTAACCAAGATACACTTTGTTTGGTTGCTCACAATTACTATGCACTGGCATGGTTCAGGGTATTTCTTGTATATGTCCACAACGAATTGCGAGTTTAGGTTCGAACAGCCATTCATGATGCATAAAGATGTTCAATAGATAGCACATGGACGATACAACATGCACGCAGAAACAGAAATACATACACGGACTGACAAGCAGACATCATATATGATATTTTTTAATAGTTGTAGAATTAGAAGAACTAGAGTTGTAGAACTGTGTATAGGTTGTTGTAAACTAGAAATCGATTACTTATATAGAATTAATGACAAAACGTGTACCTGTCTTGATAACTAAATAAAAGATTGTATGAAAACAAAATGTACACAGAGCTGGAACACTTCCTCCAGGCATACAAAACATCTATTGATATAGAGACCGCTAGATTATTTGGGATGTCATAGCTTATGGCATATTTTTTGTCATTGTATATTGACCTCTTATCGCGTACATGTGGTTGGTGATCATTTTCCTCTTTATCACATGTACAGAGATACATATATAGTCCAGCGGATAATGGCATGATTTGTATGCAATTGTGCATTTACATGTTACAAGTGAAATTTTAGTTAAATTACTAAGAAAATAATATTCTAACATGTTTCAGATAGGGAGGCACTCAAAAATATGTTTTATTATTTTTGTATGAAGCTCCAAAAAAAATATTGTTAAATATTGAGCCACTGTTATTTGTTGTGTGGAAAGTACTAGAAATGAGGTGAAGTGAGAGTGATCTCCCCTTTGTTATGACTTTGCTATTATGTCATCAGTCAAGGTTACAATGATGTAATCAGTCAAATAGTCCTGTATAATTGGAAAATTTTACATTCATTTTACCAACATGGCAAGAAGAATGTTCATTGTTGCTGAGGAGACATGAATGGTGAGTAAAACTCTTTTCACTGTGTTAGTTATGTGCAAGGGACACCTAGGGGTTTCATCACTAACAAGTTGCAGGGACATTAAATACTTGACAAGACAAATAATGTATATCTTCTTGATTGGTATATAGTTTCAGAATTGTCTAAAACAAACAAATACCCAATTTACATCATTCAGATTACTTGGTATTTTTAAAAATAATGGTATCACAGGCTATGTAGAATTTACGTGTAATAATACTTCCCTTCCACTGATCTTATTTCTTTAGATGGAGGGGACTTCTGTTGAAAATGTTTGTTGAATTACAGTTTTGATGGTATTTCACTACCAATTAAGTAAAAGCCATATGTGGTTTATTTTCTAAAGACAGAATGGTTTATAAACAAAATAATGTCACTGTTATTTGGAAAATTTTAGCTTCAGATTTCAAAATCATCTAGGTGTACAAGTTCAAATCATGTCCATGATAATAACTAATTAGTGTAATATTTCTTTTATCAATATAAATACAGCAGGTTCATAAGTTATTCAAATTCTCAAAATATCAATCATGAGGATTAGGTTATGACAAGGACAGTTCATACTATCATGTCATGAAATTAATTATTATTTTGGTCATTTCTCCAGCTTTAGCTTTATTATTTTCCAGATTCCGTGGATGATGACTAGTCAAACACAATCCACAGATGCTTCCAAGATGGATTGGAGTTTGTGTGTATTTTGCCAGAAATGCACAAAGGATCCTGTTATCTGCCCTGCCAGTGCTAAGAACCAATCAGGAAACGGTTACGCCACAATGGCTAGTAACTTACAAGTCTTTTCTGAACTTGGACAGCTGCCAATGGACATAAATTTGAGTTGTTTTGGAGGTGTTATGAATATTTTCACCACCTTTGAATCTCACAGAGCACGCTGGCACAAGTCATGTAGTCTCAAATTCAACAATAACATGCTGCAGAGGGCAAAGAAAAGACGATTATCCAATGAACTTGAAACTTCAAACAGTAAATGCGGTGACTGCCTTTCCCCATCACAACATTGTGAAAGTAAAGTCGTAAGAAGTTCACCTCATGACAGGAACAAAACTGCAGATAACGGCAACCTTTGCTTTGTTTGTGAGCAGTCAGGACTGCAATCAGAGTTAAGGTGTGTATCAACCTTTCAAGTTGACAAACGTGTACGCGAATGTGCTTTGAAGTTGCAAGATAGTCAGCTGTTAGCTAAGCTCAGTACTAGGGATTTGATGGCACAGGATGCAAAATATCACCCGAGATGTCTTTCCAATTTATACAGAAAAGCAACCCAAAGCGAGGAACTTATACAGTCAGATGATATCAGTCATTCCCAAAGACTTAAAGAAGGTTTAGCTTTCGCTCAGCTTAAACAATATGTTGACG